GCCTGACATCTGCGTCAACCGAACAATGGCAGTTAAACAATATGCCAAGATTAACAGAAGTGCAAAGGAATAACGTAGTAGGCCGCTTGTAGGCAGGGGATCCCGATCAGCTGTAGCCAGGGTTTTCAATGTAACGCCCATCAACAGCATGGGTCAACACGTGATCGGCCAAGGTCAGTATGACCAAGAGTATCCAACCCCGCCCAAGATGGCAACCTACATGACAGGACGACCACAGCCACCTCAACAGCATCCCAAATACCCGGACTGCACAGAATCTCCTATCATACCGTACGAAACCTTTAAAGAACAGCAGGTCTACGCGTCATATTGAGTCGACAACATCGTCAACAACGACTGCATTGGTGTCGTCAACACAGAGTATAGCCTCAACTGCGATGGAGAGATGTCTGGTTCAGCCACGAATCACGATTTCTTCTACTTCGATAGGATGGAAGAGCACGCCTCTGCAGACGTCGGGGAGAACGTTACGCCGGGAACTGCGTACAGGAATTGGACAGGTTTGGTGGGGGTACCGTTATGTTGTGGGCGGCTATCTCTCATCAGGGCAGGTCTATATCTACGGCAATCTTACGGCTCAATGATCCTACCACACGTCCTCCCAATTGCAGCCAACACAACAGTGTATTCCAGCAGTACAACGCTCGACCGCATACAGCAAAGAATTGAACCCGATAGAGCACCAATGGGATGAATTGGATAGATGGCTACGCTAACGTCAACCACAACCCCATCCATTGCAGCAGTTGGCTGTACAGTACAGTTCTTACCACTCGTTTTCCCCTCCTGGTGATAAAGCTACAGGAGGTTCTTCTATCCTGGTGAAGCAGGGCATTATCCATAGCTCTGTTCGACTCAATACTACTCTACAAGCCGTTGTTGTCCCTGTTACTTTGAACATAGTGTTTACATTATGTTCATTGTATCTTCCACCTTCCTCAACTATCCGTCAATCAGATCTTCAGACTTTGTACGATCAGCTCCTGAAGCCCTGTATCATCATGGGCGATTTGAACTGTCATGATCCCTTATTTGGGAGTACTGATACACATAATAAGGGAAAAGTCCTTGAAGATTTTATCTCAAACAATGATTTATGCATCTTCAATGATGGTAATGATACCTATCTTCATCCCGCCACTGGCACATACTCTGCCCTTGACCTTTCACTGACAGATTCAAATATTTAAAATGATTTTGAATGGTCGGTCCATGATGACCTTTGTGGAAGCGACCATTTTCCCATCATACTTGCAACTATTAATCCGTCTGACGAACCACCGTCAACAAGGTGGAACTTTACAAAGGCCAATTGGTCTTTATTTCAAACACTAAAACTAAAACCCGACAGTTTCAGGAATGTTCCTGATCCTATACATCTTTTTTTTTCTAATATATTGGAGATGAAAGCATTTCTAAGTCCTCTGCAAACCCTCATATACGTAAACCATGGTTCGATAAAAAATTGAAAACAAGTTGGGGAAAAATAGGAAGAGAGATGAAAAATATTTCCGAAGACATCCAACTGTCAACAATTTGATAAACGTTAAAATCAGGTGCGCTGAAGCGAGACGTACCTTTAAACAGAATAAAAGTGAATCCTATGTTTCAAAAATTAATTCCCGTACGCCTATGTCCAAGGTGTGGAACATGATTCAAAAGATTAACGGCAAAAGGATCCAAATCTGGAGTTCACCATCTCAAAGATTTTAATACACTTTTAACTACAAAATCCGAAATTGCAAACAAACTTGGAGACACATTGGCAAACCATTCCTCATCATCAAACTACAATCTTCAATTTCAGAGGTTTCAAAAACAGCAGGAAAAGAAAAAAAGTATATTTTAACTGTGACAATGGTGAGGACTATAACGAAACATTTTGACTCCATGAATTATATAACTGCCCTAGGGCAATCTCATGACACTGCAGCAGGAGCCGACAACATCCACTATCAACTCCTTAAACACTTGCCCGATTCATGTTTGGAAACGTTACTTAGTATATTTGATGAACTATGTACAACCGGAAATTACCCTTCTTCGTGGCACAATGCTATTATTATTCCTATTCCAAAGCAAGGATGGGATCATACAGATCAATCCAACTACCGTCCAATATCAGTAACTAGCTGTGTTTGTAAAACCATGGAGCGCATGGTCAACAATCGATTAGTCTGGTACCTGGAGACCAATAACTTCCCGAGTGACATCCATTGTGGTTTCCGAAAAATAAGAAGTACCATTGACCATTTGGTGCGTTTAGAATCGTTTTTTTTCTAAATTCCACTGTCAACAAACAACATACTGTATCCATCTTTTTCAATCTAGAGAAGGCATATGATACAACGTAGAAACATGGTATTTTAAAAGATTTGCAAGAATTTGGATTGAGGGGCAGATTACCTCAGTTTATATCTCAATTTTTAAACCACAGACAATTTTAAGTACGAGTGGGATCTACCCTGTCTGATCATTTCGATCAAGATCAGGGCGTACCTCAAGGCAGCATACTATCAGTCCCCCTTTTTATGTTCCAAATATAATTCTCACAGGTCCATTTTTTTTCAGACGGGTCCAAGGATGGTGGCAAAGTTGCAAGTGCCACCATCATTAGATCCAGAACTGTCACCTCAAGAATCTCAGATTTTAGTTCAATCTTTACTATCCTAACAGCTTTGACCTATATTCAACAACAAAACCAATCTAAAAATGTCATTATCTCCTCTGATTCGTTATCTTGCCTTTAGGCATATCACCATATGACCCTATTGTCCTTGACATTTTAGAACTCTATAATGATATTTCTACTGGCCAATATGACATCGTCTTTTGCTGGTTACCAAGTCATGTAGGGATAACAGGTAACAAAAAAGCCGATGATGCAGCTAAAGCAGCTCTTGACAACCGTTATCTCCACTTCTGATCCCGTACAGTGATTTCAAACCAACCATCAAATCTTATACTCGGCATCGCATGCAAAAGAGGTGGACACCCAAGTAGGAAGCAATAAACTACACGAATTGAAACCAACAATTGGTCATACCTATTTGGTTGTCAGTTGTCCGACAATGTCGTATTGGCCACAGTTCGTTTACACACGAATATCTGCTTAAAACAGGCGAGGACGAACCTCCCAAGTGTATCCTTTGTGTTGAAAAATTCACCGTCGAGCATATATTGCTTGATTGTGTGGACTTTCGAGTCACAAGGGATTCACATTACCAAAGCGTAAATCTGAAAGGTCTCTTTTCCCGTGTCAGCGGGCAACTCATTATCAGCTATTTTAAGAAAATCGGTCTTTATAATAAATTTTAAATATGTATGTGAATAATTAAAAGCTTATTCTTAAATTGGTGTGATGCTATTATCATCTGACATTACTGAAGGCTCTGTCCAGGAGGTTTACGTAGCGTAAAAATATTGTCCCCCTGTGTGACACGTAATCCTATCATTATCGATGTAACTATCATCAACAAGTGTTTTTAAGCCTACTCGTCAGTATTTTTGTTCATATTGGCTAGTATTGTTCACAACCACCAGTGGCTAAAGTGATGACGAAAATCCTGCTGGGGTATCATGCAGGAAGCAGAGGTACTGTAAGTCCCCATGATCCCCAGCCAGGTGGCCTAGCTTTGGTTGCTGGTGGCCTATGGCCCGTGTTTTAAAAATGTATTATATTGTTGTGCTTAAGTATGTTTCGTGAATTGTTTTTAAATATGGTATGCATGAATTGATTTTATATATTCCTTTGCTTAAATGACTCAAGTGTTAACATATTAAACTTGGTATCGTCGCTATATGGCTAAAATAATGGCGATGCGACGTTAAATTTTAACTCACTCATTCACTCAGCAGTATTCCAGCTATATGACGATGGTCTGTAAAGTACACAGCAAAAAAAGTGTAGGTTTCTCTTCCGGAAACCTTCCGGAAACCTTCCGGATACCTACCCATTTTGGATCCGGCCCGGGTACCTTCCGGAAACCTTCCGGAAACCTTCCCAAAAAAATGTCAAAATTTGGGGGGTGCATTTTGTTCACTTAAGTGTGAAACACATAAAAAAAATAACTTGAAAATACCAAGCAATTTGAAGGTTGTTGAAGGCATCTGGAAGGTTTCCGGAAGGTTTCTGGAAGGTATCCGGATGCAAATTTTCTTCATGACTTGCTTCTGGTAAATAATGTTAGCCTGTGCATTACAGGTACCTGTTGTAATATTCTGTGTTATTTTAGTTGTAAATATCCTCCTCAAACTGAGATATGTGGGCATGCATTGTTCACAAGTTGTTTTGCGACATGGGTCCAATGTGTGAAGCTTATTGCTGGTGTCCCCCACCATGATATTGTTGCAATATTGCTAAAAGTGGCAAAACAGCATTCTCACTCAGAAAAAAATGGAAAGTCATTGGCTATGTGCTTTGGCATTTGGCCCTGGTGAGATAAACAGATTAGTTTGGAACGGTATCAGTACTTATATTGGGACAGTGTACTTTCATGGGAATATGAAACAGAATACAATTGTCCCAAATTGGTGCATAAGACTAATGGCATCCATAGAAAACACCTAAATAAAGTACAAAAAAAATATCAATGTCATTTGTCTACTAAGGTGGAACTACAACTGTTGTTAAGTGAGCTGTATTTATAGTAGGAAAACATTCAGGGCATTAGTACATTTTATATTTGTTCAGCACCTATGTTATGGCTGATCAGTATTATATTTCTTTATGCTAATGAAGCAAAACAAATCATGTTTTTGGAAAAAAATCTTATTTATTGATTATATGCCATTTCATTGGTACATATCACAAATTGAAATTTGATCAAGCAAGAAGAGGAACTAGCATAAAGTAACCAGTGGTGTTTGCAAGGCCTTACAGAACAGACGCTTCAATGCCATTTTCTTAAATAAACAAATTAGTCAAATCTCAGAAGAATTTTATTGAAGAAGAATATCTAAAGTCAATTGTGTTTCTGCAGTAAACCACAAAAGTCATTCAGATTTGTATAGTCAGCATCGGTGTACACAAACTGGACATAGTCACAGTGCTTTGGCATAAATTCATTCAGACTTCATTAGTGTCATAATAAAACCACCTACAGTAACACTGGTGTGGCATTATTCATTCAGAATCATCACTTTCTGAGGTGAATCTGTTGGTTGTTATCAGGAGTACTGTTCATCATCCGGCGAGTCCCTTGTCTGAATTGTGTGAGCAAGATCTTCTTAAATGTAGCTGGTGTCAGATTGTGAAATCCAGGTACCTGAAACATTTCATAACATCTTTAGAAACTTGTTAGTCAAAAGTTATGAAACACACACATATTTACAAATGTTTAAAGTTGTTTTCTCGAACAGTGAGGTATTGACAATTTATCTTGCAACTGATATTTAACCAATCTTTGAACATGTAAATAAGCCATTGCAAACAGAAAAGTGTTCAGAAAATACAAAAATGTATCCGGTCTTCTAAAACAATACCACAAGGTTCACCTGAATTTTGCTTGAATGTTTGCATTACATCAAAATGTAAGGAAGGGTAAACAAGACTATGCAAAACTAAGTTACATAGGTTCTTATACATAAAAACAGAACTATTCATAATAATCAAAACTTTCAATCAGACAGGTCATGTAAGTGATCTCAAAATACAATATAATGAGCGAGTGAGTTGGTTTAGTTTCATGCAGCTTGTTAGCAATATTCCAGCTATGGGCTTCACACATTGTACCCATGTGGTGAATTGAACCCGGGTTTCAGAGACTGTTTCACCCACTAGGCTACCCTTGCACACCAAATACAAAAGAAAGTATATTAGGAATTCAGACAATAGATATTCTCACCAAATTCATTAATTCATTAATGGAAGCTATATTGAAATTCAAATTTTGACAAATTAGGATGACACTGTAGAAGCATTTATCTAAGTTATTATGGATATTTAATATATACCGTTTATTGGTAGTCCATCATAGACAGTGATAAGAAATTCAACTGAAAAGTACAACCTGAACCATCAACTAAAAACTATGTATATTACATTAAAGGGGCCGGTCATGTATTACCGGTATGCTCTCTTTCATTTTTTGACACAACCCTCCCTGAAAGAAAATGCAAAGCACTTTATATTTTATTGTCCATTTTGTCAAAAGCCTCCCCTAGAGACTCTCACATTTTGGGGTAACCCTCCCTGTTTGTTCTGATCTGAATTCAAATATTCATGACTCATTATCATATTTTATAATTTATCCTATCTTTTTTGAAAATTAACTAAATGAAGATTAACAATAACATGCAAATCTGCCAAAATATTGGCCTGGCAAAGTTTAAATTAATCATAATTACTGTTATAAAGTTTTGGATCAATCATCTGTTTCTAAATACAGTGAAACCCAACTTTGACTTGTGTGGCATTGTTGTATCATCTACCCAATGTTCTTTATGCATTGATATGCATCTGCACAGAGTGGTCAAAGTCTGTGTCTGACACTTAGTGTGCTACAAGGGAGACATCAGTTTGTGTCTAGCCAAACTGTCTGATAATCTCAAGGGCTGCCTTGGTAGCATCAAGGGATGTAGCTAATCCTAAATAAACATAAAACAAGTTACATCATCTCTTCTACAGAACACATGATCAAAGCCTGCCCCACCTTTGATGTTTATTACCTTGCTACTCTAAAAACAGGTAATTAGCAAAATGAACTCAATGTCAACTCATTGTGGACTAGGGATTAACAGGGCAATTAGTGCCGGGTGGGTATTAGTACTTGCAATTGTCTGTTAATTACTTAATTGAGTAGTGACGGCTTAGTCAGTTGTGCCTTTACAACCACGCTGACTGCTATTCAACTTATCGAGTCAGTTTACTATGTAACATGCTTCTTGGGACCAAGGAAATGTATCTTGCTGGATAACAGATTTTTCTAATTTATCAGAGATCAGAAATAATAATAATGACGTTTTTGATGTGCATTTCTTTGTTGTGTTTACTAGGATGATTAGTAGTCATGGTGTTTGAATTATTAGACACTATTTATTCAAAAAAAGGAATAGGGTTGGTGAAGAGGCAAAGCTTATTTGAACAACATATACATTGAATAAACAGAAACTGTACAAAAAAACAGATTAACTGTATCTACAGTTGAAACTATCATGATGCAAATTTTCACTGAATCAAAGTCATATCTTTTCAAGACTCAGATCAGGTTGTAGTGATTGAAGGTCACATAAAACTTGCTAATTTCAAATCACTCACTTATGATTTGGTTTGTTGTTTTATGCCGCACTCAAGCAATATTCCGGCTATATGTAAATAATCGAGTCTGGATCAGACAGTCCAGTGATTGACATCATGAGCATCGACCCACACAATTGGGATCAATGACATGTATCAACCAAGTCACCGAGCCTGATCGCCACCTGATGGCGTTAGTCAACTCTTTAGACAAGCATTGTCGCCCGTTAAGGAAAGTATTGGGTTACTTTATATTTGTGTGTCCCAATTACGCCATTATTAGGAATAACATGTATTATACACATGAATATGATATAAAAATGGCAAATATGGTTGACAATATGAGCATTGATCTAAGCATTTGGAGCAGAATTGTGAATATTCACCTAATGAAGGAGTAAGTACATACTCCGAAATGTTGTGATCATCATAATAAAGAAGTTGACATTAATACATTCTCCACTTTAGTCCTTATGTGTATAACTTGTAAATAACTTTCATAGACTTCAGGAGTTTATCTGTGATATATGTGTGCACTTAAATAAATCACTGCATCCTTACCTGATGCAGGAATAGATAATAGGCAGGAACAGAAAAAAAATAGCCAAAGTTATAGCCAAATGCTGGTTTTTGAAGATTTTCAGTTGTGGCGACACTTTCAGTGAAACCCATACAGTATTTGATTTGTAGTAGTTAACGGTTCTGGTATTTTCTGTCTGTAACTGTAAAGAAGTTCCGAAATTGTAGCGAGCAACTGCCCAGACATAAGGAGGAACAAGATGACATAGATATTAACCCATTTGTAAACTGTACAGCCTGAAGTATGTTTGGTGCCACATATCAATAAAATAGTTCCATATTGGCGGATGTATTTGTTGTAATGTAAGGGCAGAAATAGCATCAGTTATTACTGAAAAATATCCCTTGTAAAACCTTTCAACATGTTCAAATGACACATCGAAAGGCTATTGTGAAAAATTGTAATCTGACAGCACCATGTTAGGATTCTTAAATACAATTTCAGCTTGACATTGAGTACTTTAAACTTTAAAGTGAAAAATACATTCACAACAAGTGAGCTGTGTCTGCCAATCAGAGTCGGTGAGTAAATTGGAGTAGGGGACTAATTTCGAAGGTAAACTTGTTTCAACGTTTAACAACTACATGTATTTGTGTTTGTATGAGACGATGTGTGTTTAATTCCATATATTTTACTTCAAAGCATGTTATCACAATAAATTAAGTCGGGTATAGGATAAGTTGGAGTAGAGGCTAATTTCTAATGTAAACTTGTTTTAACATTTCACAATTATTGGTCTTTGCAAGTTATCAATCCAAGTTTAATTTCATTTATTTTACCAAGGTAAAAAAAACAAAAAAAACAAAAAAAACAGGACAGTTGCAGTTTGTACTCCAAGCGAGCAACACCTCCCAAGCCAGCACAGAGCATTGCCTGATAGCCAGCCAAGGAGAAATCCATCATCGGTAATTATCACGTTATCCTTTCAGCCTTATTCACATACTCTTAAAATCACTCTCATCGTTTGTTTGTTTGTTGTTTAACGCCGAACCTAGCAATATTCCAGCTATAGGACAGCGGTCCGTAAATAATCGAGTCTTGGCCAAGCGAGCAACACCTCCCAAGCCAGCACAGAGCATTGCCCGATAGCCAGCCAAGGAAACTCCATCATCGGTAATTATCACGTTATCATTTCATCCTTATTCACCTACATCACTCTCACCGAATTAATCACAAAACCCCTAAATCCTTAAAAACAACAACACTCAACTCTTATAAATAACCAACACCTTATCCTCCCCCATATCCCTAACACAGCTCGCACTCATTTCTACTCGCTACCCACGCCCACCACTCAAACACACCCTTTGACCCAACTCCTAAAAACAAAAAAACAGCTAATCCCCCCTTCTTCTTAACACAACGCACGCTCTTTCCTACTCACCACCCACGCCCACCACTCACATACCTCCACTCCTTCGACTAAATATCTCCTAATCCCCGCTTTCCACTTGTCTCACCTAATCCCAGCCTTCCAGCAACAAAATAAATCTCTAATAATTAATCCATTTCACAAACCCTCCTACTAAAACCAACAACAAATAACCACCGCAACCTCCTCCGCCTGCTAAACACAACTCACCAAGTAAAAACAACAAACCAACTCACCTCCCCAAAACACCACTCCCACTCCACCACCACCCACCACAACACACGCTCTCCAACTCTCCAAACAACATGACTGACACCCGCAACGCCACACTCGCAGACATGCCAGCTCCTAACTCACCCACGCCTGCGGAAGCGCACAACACTTCCGGGAGGTCACTCGAAAACATCGTCCCGACCGAGTATGGCGAAAACACGACACACACCACCCCCACCAAACCAGCTAACTCGCCACCTCAAAACACCAAAAAACGCAAACTCGACACATCCACTCCACCTCCATCGCCCACACCCTCCCCGGCCGCCTTCCTCACCACCTTCGCCCTCTACTTCTTCTCAGCAGGCTCAGGCACCACTCTCTCACTAGAACTTTCGGCAGATAAAATAAGACTTTGGTTTAAAAGAGAAAAAATAAATTACAACAATATTAAAAAAGCAAACAAAGGATACCAGATAATCTTCCCTAACCGAGAATCTTACAACGCAGCAAATAAAATAACTCAAATATTCCACGTCACAGTAATCAAACAAACACCTAATTGGCAACAATATACACGAGGCGTAATTAGGGTTAACCCAAGGGAAACAACTGAGGACTTACAATTATACTCTCTAGAAGCTAACATAAACCAAGACCAAAACCCTCAACCCCTAATCACCAGCACGCGTAGAATAACCTCAACTAGAAACGGAAAAACGGTCCCAACCTCCATTGTCATAATCAACTTCAAAAAGACCGCTAAATTCCCTGAAGCCCCCAAACACATATCCTTCGGAGCCCACACCAACTTAGAAGTCAAACCCTATATAAAGCAGGTTAAGCAATGTACAAAGTGCCTCAA